CTCTCTCTCTCTCTCTCTCTCTCTCTCTCTCTCTCTTTTCCCTGTTGCCTACCAATTCTGCAAAGTCTGATCAACATGAGTGTGCTCACTGTGCTCCTTTGGCCATCACCAGGTAAGTCCGCCCCATCCCCCACTGCTGTCATTCTACCAGTCACCGCAGAGTCAGCACCAACTCCCGTCCAGCCCCAGCGCAGCTATGTCTGCCTCCTTTCTCAACGAGCGCTGGACTGGCCACTGTGCGCCCGGATAGAGCTAGGGCTGGCAGCCATTACCTCGGAATGTGTGGACTGCCATGGCCTCCTCTCATTTGTCTTTCTGGAGGCTGCGCTGGAAGCTTCTGCGCACCATCTGGGTCTGGGACCGGGCCTGGGCCCCAGCCTCTTCAACTAACATTGAGGCTGGGCCTACCGGCTACTTGGAGAGAGGCTGAGGTCCAGCCTTCTTCCCACTGTGTCACATCGCCCTTCACTCGGGGCCGAACCCATTTTCCACAAGCGGCCATGTGAGCAGACCCTGAGCCATTTGACAGTGGATTTTCCTCAGAAATAGACTTCGCACTGGACAGGGTTATCAGCATATATGATGAATATACTGAGAACTGTTCCCAGTGGGGGGTCTGTGAGACGTGTGTGCTATTAGGGGACTCGTCATTTCTAATACTGTGCAATTTTCGGTTCAAGGATATGGTAGGACAGCACAGTGAACATCCTGTGCGTCAATAACCTTCCACTTTCAGATCATAGCACATTGAAGGGGGGGGAACCGACAGATTAGTCCTAAAAATTGGCTAATCATAACACAGATACGAAGCGCCTCTGCAAATCCCTTAACCCACACGCAATCACTGCCAAACCAGCCACTGACCGCTAATCCACAACCAAACCAGTAAATATCCCTCTTCCCTCAACAAACCCACTCCTCCCCCGCGGCCCGCTGACATGGCACTTGCTGAAGTAGCACCTCGGCTGTGAGCTGGTGGCTTGACGAGCCAATTGCACATGCGACGTTTAGCTCAGTATGATTCAGCGAGACCCCATGTCAATTCCAACACACTTTACACGGTCACACGTGATTGGAAGCAATCACATTTAATTGGAAGCTTTGCTCAAAATTGAAAAGACCATACACGTACACAATGTGAACAATTCATGTTTGTATGTCCACAGGATGTGCCCGGGTGCCCTGATTACACAGCGTCAAATGGGATGGGAGAATGATGTCGGTAGTTTGCCAGAACTGCCTGGCTAGGGCTGTGCCCCAATCTCCGTGATTTTTAGCACTAAAAAC